ACCTTATCCGTCTCCTGCACCTCATCATCTGAAGAATCAGATTCATCATCATCCAAAGGATCCACTGTTTAACAAGTAAGCAAATTAGCAGCAGTTGCAAACAAGCAAATCTAAGTCTCATTATTCAATGATAGAACAGATTCACAATAGTACAAATTCAGACAAATATAAGTGTAAAGAGAAGAGTAAGAAAAGTTACCAACTGAACCATCTAACAGCCAGCTTTGTGCACACATTAAGGCTTCAACAGTCTCCGGGCTAAGCCTACTGCGTTGAGGACTAATGATCCTCCCACTTGTACTGAAGGCCGACTCAGAAGCCACTGTTGAAGCCGGAATATGATACTTTCCCTTATTGGACTTCCACCAAGACAAGAGATCAAAATCAGGAACACTCTTAATAAGCTCGTCCTCCAAATATGCATCAAGCTCTGATCTGGATGGTCGTTTCCTTTTCTTGCTAGATGCGTACGAGTGAAACTCGAAACCAAAAGTGTCTTGACAATCATTTGCTTCTGAGCAGCCCCCATTAACACCATTCACTTGTTCCTCCTCTCTTTCTTTCTCCTCATACTCAACAACCAGTTGACGACATAATCCAAGAATGCGCTCTACCTCATGCGCACTGTCCTTATCATAAATTTTAGGAAAATAGAACTCCAACACCTCATGCTTAAATCTTGGATCAAGAACGACAGCCTCCCATCAAACCATTCACATCCAACCAATACTTGTTGAACTTCTCTATCATATCTAAGGCCATCAATTCAATGGTTGTGATACCACAAACAGACCACTTGTTCAAAGCTATTTTAATCTCACAAATGACAGGGAAAAACATGTTTGCAGTAGGATATTGAGTGCCTGAGAACATATTAGTAGCTCTATAAAAAATGTTCAACCTACTGCAAATTTCCCTTGTCATTTCCCAGTCTTGTTCAGTAGGCACATTTTTATACTTTGGCTCTCGACGTTTCAAACAATAAAAGACATCTTTGTATCCCATTGCAGTATCAAGCATCAAGTAAGTCGAATTCCAGTGAGTATCACAATCGAGAATCAGTTTCTTACCATTCACAATGTTACGTTGGGAAGCTGTCTCTGCAAACATTTCGACCCTCTTTGGTGTTGCCAGCCAGAATTGACAACTACTACGTATGCTCTCAATTGCACCTCCAATGACTTTAAGACCTTCCTTCACAATCAAATTGAGGATGTGTGCACAGCAACGCATGTGGATCATAGAACCACCAAGCATAAAAGAATCTGTGGCTGTTGGAAGCTTCTCTAGAAGTAAGGCCATCATTGCATCATTGGTTGAGCAATTATCTACCGTGATTGATGATAATTTCCTGTCTAGGTTCCAATCCAACAGACACTTCACCAAAGCTTCACAAAGAGCTTCGCTAGTATGGGGGGCAGGCACATAAATGAACCTACAAAAGTTTAAAAGAGTAAGCAGAGTAAGCAAACAGAATTAGGCAGTAAGCAAACAGAAATTAAACTGCAACTCTACAGACTATAGGATACCTGATAATCCGACTGTGTAGATTCCACTGGTTGTCGATGAAATGGGCTGTGATTGCCATAAATCCCTTCTTTTGGTGAGTAGATGTCCACATGTCTGTGGTAAATGCTAGCCGACCTTCATTCTTATCCATAATCTTCTTTGTAGCTGTCTTCTCAAGGTCAAAAACGTTCAAGCAATCCTTTTTAATGGTTTTTCTGCAAACCATCTTAAAGCAAGGATTCAAACTATTGCGGAAGCTTTTGAACCCTTCGTGATGGACGATGGACAGAGAATACCCATGCTTTATAATGGCCTTTGCAAGTTCTTGTCGAGAGTTTCGCTGATCGAAATTGAAAGGAGAGAGTTGAAACCCTTTGTCCTTGTTCAAGTTGGCTTGAAGCAGCTGTTGCCTTAAATCGGGGACATTTCTTTTGGGACATCTTTGGACATGCTTTTTCAGGTGACTAGTCCCGTGCCTTGGTTCTCCAACGAGCAGCTTCTTGCACAACTTGCATTGGGCCTTTTTCAATCCTCCAACAGTTACTCTATCAAAATATCCCCACCATTTAGAGGTAGTCTTAGTGTTTCCGCCTTTGCCATCTTCTTCCCCTTGTGCAGCCTCATTTTGATTGGGTTGTACTTGAACTTGTACAACCTCATTCGCATATGGCGCTGTAGAAGCTGGTGGGTTCTCAGATGCAAAAGGGGCAACAACAGCTGATGGAGAATCAACAGGGGAAGAAGTATTCCTATTGGAATTTCCTTGGGCTGCCATAGTTTTTAACTGTAAGAAAGATACGATTGCTACTGTTAACATGGTACTTTAGTTGAATTAGAAAAGCTACAAAAGCCTCGTGAGAGTCTAAGAGAGATAAGAAAACTTTGTGAATCATGATCAATTACCTGTCCTTGACCGAGATTCGAGAAGATGATTTGTGCAGCATCAAGCAACTGAACAACTCAACTGAACTACTGAAGTACTGAACGTCTAAGACTCAAAGTGACTCGAGCAAAGACAGCTTCAAGAAAGCAATCATCAACTAGCTGGCTTTGAGTTACAAGGAAGAGCAACCGGAGTTTCTATTTATCTATGGAAACTGAAATTGGAATGGAGATGGAGGAAACGAAACGGTGACCTATGGATAGGAGATGGAGAAGGAAATCGAAATATGATAGGCTGAATTCATGATGGTTTTTCTTCGGGAAGCCAAACATCTCGTTGGCTGAATGAATTCTTCTTGGGGTTGAGGATGGAGGGTTAATGATGGAGTAAATAGGAGAGGGGAGGGGAAGAGTTGGACACCTGCAAGCTGTAGGGGTTGTTGGGAATTGAGATTATGAATTGTTCTGTAATTGGGAAAGGGATGAGGGGAAGATCGATAGACGAAAGGGGCTAAGGAGCGGGGCAGGGACGGGGCGGGGCAGGGGTTATACCCAAACCTGGACTGGACTGTGGGCGGGCCAGGTCGAGATCCGCCCCATCTCTTAACGGGCCGGATTTTATCCGTCCCTATGCGGGTTGGGCCGGGTCAGACCCGCCGGATCGGGCTCAAAGTCCCTAGCCTAGTTGATTTGGGTTGTCAATGAAATGGTTCATGTTTCCGGAGTTGGTTTCGATGGTTTGCTATTGGGTTTGTTGAGGCATACTACCTCTGATTATACTGATAGGAGTTTGTGGTTGTGCTTTGAGCTGATTAATATGTTCTTGCCAAACTTTATCTCTTTACTAGAAGAAGTGTCCTTTGTGTTGACAAGTGCATTATATGTTTATCTTTGCTTGTTGGCCGATCACTGTAGAGTATCAGGCAATGTTCGAGTAGACTTGTTGAAGAAATTAGAGATTGAGTTTTGTGTGAAGATGTCGAGAGAGAAGCTTCATTTGAGCGTCAAGATTGGGAGGGACTTAGTTAGGCTGCTTTAGGATTTGGTTCGTGTTCCAGAGTTTCGCAATAGATGGAAGGATTTAGTTCTGGTTCCAACCAAATTTAGAACATAGGGGTTTTCATATATTGCACAATTGTACTCTACTAGGACCTCAAGTAGGTATTTCTTGCTTCGAGTCACCTCAGAAATGGAGCTACAGTTGAGGTTCTTACTTGTTCATGTCAAGTTTAGGCATCTGAAGCATTACCAAATGTGATTTGCCAAGAAGTTCCTGTTTGAGCCGGAGAGGGAGACTCCTATAGTTGACCTGATTCGGTTCATATGTTGAAGCCAATGCCAAGTTGGCATTGTTTTATGACTGCCTTTTCTTTGATGAAAGAATGGACAATATAATGAACATTGAACCGACAATGCTACTGATAGTGTTCCATGCCATAGCATGTCAGCATGACCCAGTATATTCTGGAGTATTTGTTGCTTTGCTTCTTGTGGACAACGATGACCAGGAGCGTCCTGATACCATTGTTAAAGGTGTGTCATTAGGCTTCACCAGCCTCGCCAGTAAAGGGGTTATAAACTCCGTGGATACTCTGACAACATGCGATGCCCTTTCGCTTTTTTTGAAAGAAAGACTTAAGAAGTTATTGTCAAGCACAAATCAGACAGTCCCTCATAAGTCATATCCATACCACCTCTCTCACTGTTCTGCAAATGCTTCACCTTTAGAAACTCCAGCTTCACACCGAAACCATGAACCTGCAGGTGCTTCATAACTAATATGTGGTGCAGAGTTGCAATAGCAAATCTTAAATGATCTTTTAACTAAAAATGTATTTTTAGTGTTGGAATGAGGAGTCTTGTTGGCCATAGCTCATCGGTACAATGTGGATCAATGAGAATAGCAATAGCTAATCTTAATTGGTACAATTTGATAAGGATGACATGCTTTGATTAGATGAATTAACATTCACTTAGTTTTGGTCACAAAATTGATTGTGTAATTGGCTGTTAAAACATTGGGTCTTATGAGTTGGACTTTGGTTTCAATAGATAAAAGAAAAGAAGAATTAGGAATAGAAATAACATCTCACTAAAATAAGTTACAATTACGATAAATACAATCACATTACTAAATAAAAACTACTAATACAATTATATTACATAACTAATTACAACTACCAAAATAAAATGAACCAAGCCTGCCCAAGTCAAAGCCAGTCAACTCTGGTCAATGCAGTCAACGGGTCAGTCCACACAAAAGCCCAAAAACCTCGATTCACCAATCATGCCCATGTCAACCCATGTCAACCCAAACCATAACACAGATTTCCAGATTTGAACCCCCTAGAATAATCACAAAAAAGCCAGAATTCCCCAATGGTAGAAACCTACCCTAAATTACCCCCAAATCGACATACATCATAACCTAATTCCATAAACACCTCATTTAACACTATTTATTACTACTTATATGTTACATCTTACATATAATGTGCCTTTATTGTAATCCCTTTCATTCTTAGTCATATTGTCTTTAAAGACAAACTCTGTTTACCCATCATTTCCATATGCATAGCAACGACATCATTTATAGCATATAGCACAAATGATTGAAACCATCAAAACTTCACTCAATAAAAGGCTGTAATTAAGCTAGACAAGCAAGACTCGATTTTGTTTCAAGGGAAACCCCTCTAATCTATTCATAATCACACGTCCATACACAAAACTCAGATTTGCAACACCATTTGCCCCTATAACCTCTGAAATCCAATTACATTGTGCCAACACATGATTTTTGGCTATAAAACGAGCTCTTTAGCTCTGGCAAAAAGGAGGGCAGAACCAAAAAAAAAAACATTCCCTGAACCTTTTCTTCTCTGTCACTTCCTTCCTTCTGCTGTTCGGCTCCTTCTTCCTCAAAATTCCAAACAAAAAAGAGGAACACACAGACAACAAGAAAAACTCCCCTGACTCTCTTCCTTTACCTGACACCTTCTTCTTCCTTCTTCTTTTTCTTTTCTGATCAAAAGACAAGACAACCGAAAATTCTGCAAAAACCACTCCCTTCTTTCTTCATCCCCACCTTCCCGTCTCTGAACAAACAGAGCGAAGAGCAAAAACCCTGCAAAATTCTCAGATTCTTCTCAGCCACAAAAACACATACAAACAGAGAGCAAAAGCCAAAAAGAGAACAGGCAGTGGAAAGAAAACCCTCCATGCTTCCTCTCTTTCATTAGATAAAAAATAAAACGACAACACAACAACTTTCGTTTCCCATTCCTACAGCAAATAACCATCCCACAATCACCAAAAGCCACACAGAAAAGAGGAAAACACAACAGATTCCTTTTCACTTAATTGTTCTTTAGCCACACAAAGAAGAAAAACACAACAAAAAGCAGCAAAACCAGGAAAGGAGGAGACGACGCAAAGACAGCAGCAAGAAGTTTGGAGGAAAGGCCAGAATCACCATCAAGCTACAAGAAAAGGGTTGGTAATACAGTAATCCTAAATCTTGCCACCATTATCATTCAACAACATCATTTTTTTTATATAATCTCTACAACTACCCTTCTCTAAAAATGGTCTCGAGGAGGAATCTACCTAACCAGTATTCAAACAAATTACAAGTTAACAAACCCATGATCTGATGCAATCAAAGCTTTCTTTTTACTATATACATATGTTTATATTGATTAAAGCTTTTTGTATTGTAAACAAACTAGATTCGATAATTATACTAGCCTTATATGTTTAGTTACGTTCATGTTGGCTATAAAAATTACTAAGTTTTCTGTGTGTTAAGCATACAGTCACAAACATACTTGAGATAAACTACTTACCCTAAGCTACCTAATCAGATTTCATAAACTAGGATCAACAAGCAAATTAAACCAGCTTTTAGTTTATAAACTCTAAACCTATTCTTGTTCATAACCTTACACACAAATAGCAAACATAATCCCAAAGCAGAAACAAACACAAAGATCTCCAAAATTGCACCCCATGAATATGAATTTCCGGCAGCAACCCATCATAAACAACACAAAACTACCAACACCAAAACCCGTCTAAAAAGTTTGAGCAATTATCACAAAAATCCCAAACTAACCATTATAGCAGATTATCAAAACAATCACCGGCAACCGATTATCAGAATCAAACTCATCATGAACACCATAACACAGATTTCCAGATTTGAACCCCCTAGAATGATCACAAAAAGCCAGAATTCCCCAATGGTAGAAACCTAACACAGATTTCCAGATTTGAACCCCCTAGAATGATCACAAAAAGCCAGAATTCCCCAATGGTAGAAACCTACCCTAAATTACCCCCAACTCGACATACATCATAACCTAATTCCATAAACACCTCATTTAACACTATTTATTACTACTTATATGTTACATCTTACATATAATGTGCCTTTATTGTAATCCCTTTCATTCTTAGTCATATTGTCTTTAAAGACGAACTCTGTTTACCCATCATTTCCATATGCATAGCAACGACATCATTTATAGCATATAGCACAAATGATTGAAACCATCAAAACTTCACTCAATAAAAGGCTGTAATTGAGCTACGTTAAACACTAACACAACCAAACCCTTCCAAACTACGTTAAACACTAACCCAATACAAAACTAAAGCTTTAATAATCAGACACATAATTCTAGATTACAAACAAACTTCAATTTCTAAACCCATACACAGGTTAAAATAAAAAAACCCAGAACAGATTTCCGAATTCATCACATACAAACATAAGCTTAGTCTTAAACCCCAGTCATACATACAATCCCCAGTTTCAATACCGATGTAAACAACCACAATTTTCCAGAATTCATACTCAATCATCTCAAACCAAAGTTTCTAGAATTAAAACCAGCAAAACAAAATTTCTAAATTCGGACCCAAAATCTTACTCACCTGCCATGTCTGCCGTCGGCAACACTGTCAGTGCTCGTCGGCGGTGACCCTCTTTCTGTCCAGTCATGCTCTCTCTCCACCCTCTGCCAAAATGGAAGAAACCAAAAAATACAATCAGAACCCTAAACAACCCCTAAATCCAAAGAAAATCAAAATCAACCCCTTAAAATCGACATGCATGTGAATGAAAATGATCTTACCTCCGTCACCCTCGTTGGTGTCGTCATCGGTGTCGATCGCCGTCTTCCTTTAGCTGCTGTCGACCGTCCCTTCGGTCCTTCCCCTCGTTGTTCCTAGGGAAGAATAGAGGAAAGACAGATCGAGGAATGGGAGTCATGAGGAGATGGATTGCGAAGAAAGAAGAGGGGATCGAGTGAGAAGAAGAATGGAAGGAGAAAGGTTTGTTTCGTTCTTTCTTTTGTTGGATCGTCGATTGTAGAGGATGAAAAAGGAGAGGTAGAACGAGTGAAAAAAGTGAGCGGCTAGGGTTAGGTTAGGCCTCCAAAAACGGGTTCACACACCCGGACTCCTAAAATGACCAAAATACCCCTCTAATTTCGACTAAATTACACGCTGCCACTCGCGGATTGCTTCTGTGAAATCAAAAAACATTTGCCACTGTGAAGTCTCGAACCAGAGACCCAGTCATCGCTAATTGATTTAGGTCAGAGCAACCAACCACTAAGCTATGCTATCATACTTGAAACTTCGATCTCCTCATCTACTCATTTTCGTGTTTAACGTTAATACATAATATTCGTGCCATCTAATCGTGCTAGGATTTTTGCTTTAACCAAATTATGTATACCTCTAAACATTTCAAAATATTAAAAACCTTCGTTACCACATTCTCTTTGGCTTCATTATTCATACCCATGCTCGTTTTACTTAGAAAATATCTTAATACGAAATCATGATAAATAAACCATAATAGTTACTCTCGATGGAATCATTTGAAAGATGGTTTTACCATTCAACTACTAAGTTGAAACATCATAAATACATTACCTAATAACTCAAATTATCATCTTAGCCACGATCAATAGAACGTGTTAAGAACGCTAACATTTCAAATCACTCATTTTAAAACTTCAACATCATCGAACTACGTGGACTTTGATCCCGGTTAACCCGGGTACGTAGGCAACCAATAGGTTTCAAGTCCAACTAACAAATTTTCTTCGCATTCCTAATGTGTGAGACTCAACATTTAAAATTCATAAGTACACCGAACTACGTGGACTTTGATCCCGACTACTCGGGTACGTAGGCCACCAATAGGTTCGAGTCCAGCTAAAACATTTTCTTCACATTTCAACGTGTGAGACTCAACATTTAAAACTCACAATTACAACGAACTACGTGGACTTTGATCCCGACTAAGTCGGGTACGTAGGCAACCAATAGGTTCGAGTCCAACCAATCTAAAAAATATTTTTACGTCAATAGGCGTGAAAATTATCAAGTAACTACAACAATTCAAAATTTACGTCCAATTGAACTCTATAAATACACCCCAAAATTATTAAAATCCTACAATTAAATACACAAACAAATCACAATTAACATTACACCCAATCTCTAAAAACTTGTCGATTTACGTAGTACCCGTTATGGGGCGTTGTGGGGTGTGAATACACTTCCCCACACGTAACCGTACTCCCGAACCTATAACAATCTATAATTCGCATACCAGAATTCTGGTTTTAACAAAAAAAAATTAAAACCGGAAAAGGGTGTTCGACCCACCCCAAAGCACGGTCGATGGTGACTCCAAATCAATTCGCGACGGATCTCCCGATCTCGAGGGGCGGTTGCGACACTTAGTACATAACAAATATACAAAGTAAAAACATCCCAACTTGCCCTGGTATTTCCCCCCCCCCCCCCCCCCCCAATATTACCAGCAACACCGTGAGAATTTTCATGCTCAATTGCAATTCCTGAATGTCCTGCATATTTTCTGGTCATTCCTAGGTTTCGCCTTAATTGAGTAACACTGCCACATTGCAAAGATCCTTCCTTTGATCTTACTGGCATTTGTTCGATGAATGTGTTTGGCAAACCAAAGCCATTATTCTGTGCCACAAATGCGCAGATGATCAATATGTCTATTCTCTTTCTTGGTCCCATGTCATAAATTTGAATGTTTGCTTTTTGATACTCTTGTGTGACATAAGCCAATTATTAATTGTGAAAATAATGGTTAGAATACTGATAATGAATTTGATGGCTTTGACAGTAATTTTGCATTAATGACAAAGGAGCATCCCATACTTAAGGAATGATAATGATCATAATAAATATTAATGATAAATGGAGCATCCCCTACTTAAATTGGGGGGGGGGGGGGGAAGTAGACTTGCCTAGCTAGCCCATAATGAATCAATATTCGTGTGCCTGAAGAAAAAGGGATGTCCATCATGTCTGAATCACTTTTTTTTTTGTTTGAAAAATGTCTGAATCACTTAAGAAACTCCATTTCCTCTCCCCCCTGTTTTTACTTCAGTTAAAAATCAGTCCCTATTGGGAACATTAAAGATCTCAACTTTCTGCTGATAACAATCTTCCCATGTGATTACTTGCACAGAATTGACAAGAACAAGTGAAAAAGATTTCCATCTTTACTACAAACAACAACAGCTCATCTTGTTCCTTCCCTTTAATTAAAAGCCTGCATATACTATCTAAGCCAAAAGAAAAGTCTTGTGCTTGCCAAAATCCAGATTCTTGGAAAACAGTTTCAGGAATCTGGTTTTACAGTCCACCATTGGCAATCCCAATACACCAAAGTCAAAGGAAGAATCTTACCTTTGCAACATGTCACATTTCTAGAACCTCGCAGGCTTTTTCTATTTGCTCAGAGAACCAGACAGGCAGTTCTAAGAAATGGAGAAAATCAGTTGCACCAAGGTTGTTCTTCCAGGCGAGTCCGAGGAGAAATCAAGTGGCAAGATTGGGTACAAGATTGTCAGCAGAGGGATCAAATGTGAGAAGCTGAGGAACCTGATTATCAGAGCAGTGAAAGCCCACAAGTCGAATTCGAGTAATCCTGCTTCTTCTACACCTGGAGAATCTAGGTTCTGGACAATAGGAATCACACTGCTACTGATTGTGATGTGGGCTTGTGGAATGCAGTCAATGGCTTTCCATAATGCCAAGTGGCCAGCCACCGCGAAATTTCAATTTGCCCATCCTGCTGTTCTTATACCTGAAAGTACAAAGAGTTTCTTCCTTTGCTCTTAACTCCTGTCAAAATTATGACTCCATAGAGTAAAAGCATCTTACTTTGGTCTTACCTTCTCTCCAGGAGTTTACCGCAACAATGGATATCTGACCGTGTCATCCAATGGAGGATTGAATCAAATGCGATCAGGAGTAAGTCTGAAAAACTTTTAAGATATCTTTTACGCTTGTTTCCTTTTGTTGATTTTGGTTTAGTCTTTGGTTTTTCTGAAAGCTGATTTCTTTCAGATTTCAGACATGGTTACTATAGCAAGATTCTTAAACCTGACACTTGTTGTTCCTGAACTGGACAACACCTCATTTTGGCAAGATAACAGGTGGATGAACTCAAATTAAATATCAAGATATCTTGTGGTGATAAACCCAAATTTACTTGCACAATAGTTTCTTACTCAATTAATCAATGCCGCTACATTTTGCAGTCAGTTTGGGGACATATTTGATGTGGATCACTTCATTGATTCCTTGAGAGATGAACTCAGGATTGTGAAAGAGTTGCCCCCAACCCAGAAGGAAAAACTAAAGACTCAACCACTGTATCAAATGGCAACTCGTAGCTGGGGTAACATGTCCTATTACTATCGCACGGTTAGTTTTATTGGTTTTTTCAATTTTAACAGTCCAACCTTCCCATACTTGAAACTTTGGTTTAAGTTCTGAGTACTTGAAATTTTTGGGCGACAAGAACAGGTTCTGCCAGTCTTCAAAAAGTTTGGAATAGTCCATTTCTTGAAGACTGATGCTAGACTCTCAAACAATGAGCCTCTTGAGAATGTTCAGAAGATGCGGTGCAGGGTTAACTATGAAGGTCTAAGGTTCACTCCACACATAGAGAAGATAGGGAAGAAGGTTGTGAGCATCTTGAGGAAGAAAGGTCCCTTCTTGGCTCTTCATCTTAGATTCGAAAAGGATATGTTGGCATTCACTGGTTGCACCGAAGAGCTTGATAAGGAAGAAGTAAAAGAGCTTACCTCAATGAGGTTTGTGATTCAAGGTTTCTTCATTTATCTGCTCAATTTGGTATTTCTTCTCTCATGATCTTATTTATTATCATCTGTTTGAAAAGGTATGCATGTCCATGGTGGAAGGAGAAGGAGATAAACTCAACACATAAAAGGGAAGAAGGGCTATGTCCATTGACTCCAGGGGAAGTTGGACTTGCACTGAAAGCACTTGACATAGATCCGGAGATCCAAGTCTACATTGCTGCTGGAGAGATATATGGAAAGGACAAAAGACTCGACGATCTTAGAGCTTTCTATCCGAATCTGGTTAGTTTGTGAGTTTAATGATCATGAAATAACAACCTTCAGAGATATTGTCCATAATTCTTAGTCTGGTGATGATGGTTGATTTCTGTTTCTTTGTCAGGTGAAAAAGGAAACATTGCTACCAAGCGCAGATATGGGAGAGATTAGGTACCACTCAAACAGGATGGCAGCAGTGGATTATATTGTGTCATTGGCTAGCGACACTTTTGCTCCAAGCTATGATGGTCACATGGCCAAAGTTGTGGAAGGCCACCGCCGGTATCTGGGATACAAGACGACTATACGTCTGGATAGAAAGGTTCTGGTGGCACTGATAGACAGGTACAGAAGTGGGAAAATGAAGTGGGATGAGTTTTCTGATTTAGTGAAGAAAACTCACAGTGGGCTAATGGGTGGACCTATTGAGAGACTAAAGATCCCTGGCAAGCCTAAAGAAGAGGATTACTTCTACTTAAATCCCGAGGAATGCTTGCCAAAAATTGATCCTTCTTTAAGGGGTTTAAGGTCAGACAAGACAAAGCATTAGAAGCTCCCCACTTTTCTGATAAAAGAGACCTGGAAGCTGTGTTCTTTTTTTCTTTTTTACTGTTACAGTTAGAAAACATCATTTGTCAAGTGGTTATGCAGTACATTTATTATTGTAGAGTGGTTATGCAGTACATATATATTGGAATATAAAAGCCTTGATTTGACATTCACTGTTCATAAAAGTCTTAGTTCTAAGTTTACCATTAAGCAGTAAAACCATAAATAACTTCACTTTTAGTTTGAAATATTTTGCATAATTTCCTTATTTATTTTACTTTTTCCCTTTATTTTATTTTCAAGATGTCACATATTTAGTCTCATTTATCCTTTTTATTTAATTTATTTTGGCCATATATGAGAACCTCTAACACTAGCTATAACTCAAAGGCTAAAAGGGCAAAATGGGCAATTAACCACTAGAAAGCTAAACCCAAGAATTGAGAGTTAAAATGAGACTGAAATTTGGGGGCTAAAAATGAGGGACCACATTGGACAAATCGACCTCTAGCACGCCTCCCCTAACTGTGAGCCCCAATTTTTATAATTGTTTTCTAGTTGTTTTTAAAACAATTTAGACCCATTTTCAGTAGAAATTGGACCGCTCGGTTGTCATTTGACACCAAAAAAATACATACAAAATTTTGAAATTAAATATCAATGGCTATAAAGCACGAGCATTGAAATAACGGTTGTGAACGGTCATAAAACGGCTGGAAAAAATTCTATTAAACTCTCATCCAACTCCTCATTTCATACACCATCTCATATCTCACTCCCTACACTTTCTCCAAACACCTAGCCTCCAAACTTTTTCTCATCTTGTGCTTTTTCGTAATGAGCAAAAGAGGTGTCAATGGGTCCGAAGATTAAGACATAGCATTATGTCAAGCTTGGTGCAAAATATCATGCGACAGATAGGTGAGTCGTTCAAAACGGTCATTTCACGTTATGATCGCTCCCAACTATCGACTGTGTCACGATTCAAGATAATAGGTTAGACGTGTAGCGCATGGAAGGGGGGATTGAGGAAAGGTAACGAGCAAAGATCTAGTGGCCAAACTGCAGATGTTGTGGTAAGTCCATTTCTTTTTCAAGTTATGAATTTTATTTTTTCTTAATCGTGATTATGAAATAATATTACATATGTAATATATGTAGATGATCATGGCGAAATACATTTATAAGTCAGAGATGAAAAATAAGGCTTTCAAGTATGAGCATTGTAGGAGGATCCTGTCATGATGCCTTAAATGGCATCCTGATCCTGCACTCGATATTGCACTTGTTCCACCTATGGCTAGCGAGTTGAGCTCATTTACTAACCTTAAGCAATCAGTTCTGACATTCGAAGGTACTCCAGCTAGAGGGTTGTCTTGACACGAAGGATGTGATAAGTAAAGGGCCTATAACAAGGGGAAATCCAAGGAAGAATCATCTTAGGAGCGTGATCAATGACGAAATGCATTATCTGCTTGATGAGCTCTTCTTGAGGAGAGGAATGCGAGTAGGGTATCTACGAAAGTGACAAGAATTAGCATGAACGGAGGAAATGGCAAATGAAGGACGAGGAATTTCGCACTACATGAAGGGAAAAGTAGTGAACTTAGGGAACGAGAAGCAGCTTTGTTTGAGAATGATATGAAGATTTTGGAAATTGACCTAAGCAAGTTAACTTCAAGAAAGAGGAAGATTGTTAAGTGCCGACAAGATGTCATATATGCTAGAGATGCTAGTCATGATGATGGTGGAAGTGCCCTCTGACCATGGCAGTGGCAGTGACGAGGACTATCCTATCCATTATGATACCTATCGTTCTTTAAATTTGTAGTGCTTATTTGAATTCCTAGTTAGCATTTGAATTCTAAGATTGTATTGAATTCCTAATTTGCATTTAAATTCCTAGTTTGCATGTGATGTCTTTGGATTCCTGGCTTATCACTTCAAATTTGAAATAAAGGATTAAATTTTATTACTGGAAACACTCTTGAATCATTAATTGAAGTGATTAACTAATTATTTTAAGTATAAAAATATTTTGGAAATTGCTTAAATTTTATCAAAATGTTCATATCGAATTATCAAATTTAAATATATAAAATTTAAATTGAAAAATATATGTTTAACTATTCATAAGTTAGGATTACTAGATACGAAACATAAAATTTTAGCTCTCGGGTTGCAGCTGTTTATGTTTTCAAGGGGGCTAAAAATTCATTTTGTCCCTTTAAACCCCATTTTTTACCCGGGGTTGCGGTTAGTCTAAGTGATCCTTTTTTTAAAAAATTATCCTATTTTTCCTATGTTGGAACTAGAGCTGTCAAAATGTAACCCGACCCGAGTAACCCGCCCGATCAACCCGACCCGCAACCCGCCCGCAACCCGATTTGACTAAAAGTCAATGACCCGTAACCCGCCCGACCCGCAACCCGATCGACCTGCAACCCGATCGACCCGCAACCCGACCAACCCGCAACCCGACCAACCCGCAACCCGATCGACCCGCAACCCGATTAACCCGCAACCCGACCAACCCGCAACCCGACTAACCCAAACTCGTAACCCGACCAACCCGCAGTCCGACTATAATAGAAGGAATTCGATGAAGATAAACCAAAAGTTGACATTTGGAATTCTAATTCACTAAATCTGATCATTTGGAATTCAATTTTGTTGTCTGTTTCTTAAATGTAGTTTGTCTTGAATGGGTAATAATGGAATGTTAATTATCAAACGATACCTCTTTCTAAACTTGGATGCTCATCGAATCATATAGGCTTTCATGTACTTTTTTTCCTTCAGTTAGTACTCAATATGATAGGTATTAGTAATTTCCCATGAAGAAAAAACTTCAGTATTTGTGTAAGTAAACAATTTGTTAAATTAATTAACCATCACAACATTCAAGACTCCGGCTTTTAATGAAATCAAGCGTGCTTTCCTGCAACTTCATCATAATTCTTTGCTTTTACAGTCATCATTCCTGCAGCAGTAGAGGGTGAACCAGTTTCACAAGTTCTATCATACTGTTGAGCATAATGCATCACAAGAGATCCAGAACCAATATGTATTAATTTGTTTTTGTAACTTAGATCCCGGCGCGGAGGCGCGGGCAAAGATACTAGTATCAATTAAAAGTAAACCCAATCACAAATCTGGTGTTCATTTGACAAAGAATAAGAAGAAAACAGAGAGCCAGATTGGGAACCCAGATCACCGGCAACCCTGGTCTCCTTTAGCCCAAGCGGTGGCGCAGCCGATGGAGAAGAAGATGAGGAGGCACTGAGGGAGGTCGGATAACGGAGGCCCCTTCTACCTCCTCATTCTTGGTCCGAGAAGGCGACGAGAAGGCTTCTTCTTGAAGATCTGGAGCGAAAACCCTAGCCTCTGCCGTCTCGATCTCTCCACCGCCACCATCTCATCCAACCTTCGAAGCCTCACTCTCTGCCCCCACCTTACTGGAACCCTTGCTCTGCCGTCTCGATCTTCCGCCATAGTCGTCTGGCCTTTTCGCCAACGTTGCCGCATCTCGCCAGAGCAAGCCGCTAGAGGCGGAGGTGTCGTTTTTTTAGAGGAATCAAAGGAGATGAAAGAAGGTTCTGTTTTCTTTGAGAATAGAGTGGCAGGTGAAGGAAGGGGTTGTTGTTTGCAGAGGAACGAAGGATAGGTAGGTGAAGGGCTCGTTTTCAATTTTCAACAGAGAGAAATAGTGGTTTGAAATTTGGGCGGTGGTGGGTTTGATTTATCTGCTGAAAATTTTCAACCATAAAAGGAGGGAAATTTTGGGCGGTGGTCAAAATTTGGGTGGGCATTTCTCAAGAAAAAATTAGGCGGGCATTGAAAAATTGGGCGGGCAAAGGATTTGTGTCGGTTCAATACGAAATCGACCCAAATCAATAATAATTGGGGTTAATACCATATTTGGTCATTGGGATTACTAAATCGTGACATGTTTAGTCACTAGAAAAAATTAATATCAACTTTGGTCACTCAAATTACTAAAACAGGTCATATTTAGTCACTCTCCGTTAGTCTCCGTCCAACTCTGTTAAAAAGTGCTGACGTGGCTAACGGGAGCGCCTAATCAGCGTCGTTTTGGCCCAAAAATGGCCAAACCCGACCCGCCACGTCACTAAACTCGCCATGTCATACACCCAACCCAACTCATTAACCAAACCAAACCTAGAACCAAACTCGACCCATTTAACAACACAAAATTGAAAAATCAATTGGGTTAGTGGCCATTTTCAGACCCAAAATCCTTCTCCTTCCTCGCGAAGCTCTGATGTGTTCGATCGAAAATGGTAGAATCTAGAGGAAAGTGCTTACCCTTTTCATTACAATTCTTTTTCCATTCTATCTCCCAAGCAAAACAGCAACCAGAGAAAGAGCTACATTTTCCATTCTAATCTTCTACCAAACCAGACAAGCAAACAAACAAAACAAAAGCAGAAACTGAAATCGAAAAGCAAAACAAAACATTTCATTACCAGCAGTATCCTGCTTGTTCTTGACCCTAACATGTCCTTTGATCCCCTGCTTATCTATACCAAGCCTCTATTCTTCTTCCCATCCTTGCCGAACAATTCGTCAAGAACAGTAACAACCAAACCCTAACCCTATTTCAGTACAAAAAAGACAAATCACAGACGCGTAGAGTCGGCGGCTATGGAAGTAGCAGAAGTACCATTTGTTTCATGAGCCAGAAAGCGGCAGACTTTCAGGCTACCCCGACGTAGTTGAGAGGGGCTTTGGGAGCGGTCAGTTTTTCATCTACTCTCCCGCGGTACCCTTCTTCAGCTGCGTGCGGCGGCGGAACTATCAGCCCGCTTCCTGGACGGTTGTTAGATCAGAGCGGAAGAGGAGAAATTTGAGAGAAGGAGAGTGAGAGAAGTAAACCTAGGGCGAAAGAAGAGAAAAAAAGGAGCAAATTAGGTGTGTTGTGAAAGTCTTCGCGAGGAAGGAGAAGGGTTTCGGGTCTGAAAATGGCCACTGACCCAATTGATTTTTCAATTTGTATTGTTAAATGGGTTGGGTTTGGTTCTAGGTTCGGTTTGGTTAATGGATTGGGTTGGGTGTATGACATGGCGGGTTTATTGACGTGGCGGGTCGGGTTCGGCCATTTCTGGGTCAAAATGACGCTGATTAGGCGCTCCCGTTAGCCACATCAGCACTTGTTAACGGATTTGGACGGAGACTAACGGAGAGTGACTAAATGTGACCTGTTTTAGTAATTTGAGTGACCAAAGTTGATATTAATTTTTTCTGGTG